TAATGGCAACGTCATTTACACATTTGTACATTGTTTTTATAGTTTTCGATTAAAATTGTGTTTGGCAAAAAAAAATCCATATTTTCGCATTTTATTGAACCCACCACCCCCCACCCCCACATCATGTTATATTCACGCATCAATTAAAAGAAAATCCATTCCCACGTAAATTCTTTGAAGAAAAAAAACAACTAATCGATTCGCACATCATTTTCAAAAAGTAATCATCCAATCCTACATCAATTCTTAGGGGAAAAAAACATATTGTATTCGTAAATCAATTCTTTGGGCGAAAAAGCTTAATTTATTATCCTCTCTTCCCTCCCCTCCAAACATATTTGCATATCAAGTTTTGTTTAAAAATAAAAATTAAGCGTCTATTCCCACAGTAATTTGTATTATGGAAAAAGTAACCATCTGTTCCAACATGACATCAATTCTTTGGAATAAAACGCAAACATCTAATCCCACATCAGTTCTTTGGAATAAACCCAAACATCTAATCCCACATCAATTCTTTGGAAAAAAAATCCAAACCCATCTATTCACATATCAGTATCTAAAACCAACCCCACACTGAACAAATTTTATTTAACAACCCTGTCAACACTGTTTGGTAGTTTGGTAAGCGTTTTACGGCGTTTACAACTCTATAAGGTAAATGTTTGTTAAGACTTACTTTAAAAAAAATCCCGAGATTAGTAGGTCTACAGCAGGTTAAAAAGTTATAATTTATAGTTACATTTTGCTCAAATTTGGAACAGATATCAAATATGATATTTTCTCGATTATTTTGGCGGGATTTCATAAGAATCCAGGATATATTTTCATTCCCAGTTCATGATGACCTTTGCGACAAGAAGTGTTGTGAATGTTTATTCAGTGGGCTCCAAATTGCAGGAAAGCTTTTGGCGTACTGTGAGCCCATCTCTATCTAATTCTTGGTCTCACTTTGATTACCCTGTCAAACAACTCACCCCCCTCCCACTGGATACAATTAAAAATGTGAGGCAGCGTGGTGGAATCAGGCTCTCGTCAATTCAAACTCTTGTTCACTTGTCTTTACTTGGATGGAAAAAGTATCCATTTAACTTAAATACAAGTCGAGATATTTGCGAAAGAAGTAGGTGGGGCTCACTTGTTTTCAGAGGTAAAATTAGTGAGAAAATGGTCACCAAAGAGTAGTTATTTCCTTAACTTAAGAGTCCGTGATAACAGAAAATTTACATTTTTTGTGCCTTTAATCAACGTTTTTCAGAAAAATCCACACAGAAATGAGTTCTTTAATCGGCATGAAAGGTGTTGAGCCAAAAAGCAAAAATTCGATACAAATTCACAAACTTGCGGAAAAATGAAAGTTTCTTCACGTTGATTATTTTGACGAGA